TGGTTGTTGGCATTGGAAACTTGGCCCTCGGTTAATCGCTAACTGATGTTATGCCTCAACTGCACAGAAGTTTATGCCAAGCATTCTTTCATTCTGGGTGTCTGCAGTGTTAGCACATCCTAGGGCACCTACATGACCAGTCCTTAGCTCTGTCTCTAATGGGCTTCTCTGGGCAGAAATGTACTCACGTTGCTGCGTTTCCTTACTGGAGGAAGAGGACACCCGTGTGTCACCTCATGGGATGGACACAGCATAAGAAAATCACCACATGGATGCCTGCAGACACTGTGCCTTTTTTCCATATGATCTCACCATGCATCCTTGCTACACTGCTGTAATACATCCTTGTGACTATGCAAATGTGCTGACTCCTGTGAGCCTTTTTGGCACATCTCTGAAAGCGGGGACACCCACCCACACACTCCCGAGCTGAGGTTTAAGTTCACTGAGCCAAATTTGGTCAAGTGACGATGGCATTCAGGGCATTTCTAGGCAGAAGCTACAGTGACCACACAAGCATGGAAGTGGGCAGAGCACAAAGTTGGGGAGATGGGGCCATGCACAACTAACTCATCGTTCCCTAAGCAGTAAGTTTAAGGAAATCAGTGTCAGCAAATACAGGTATGGTAAGTCTCAGCTGTTCTCCTATTAAGCATTACTTCTTAATACTTAGGAAGTATTCAGGATGAGAAATAGGTAAAATTGAGTGATTCAATGGATATTTGGGATAGCAAAAGAAGGACTTTTTTTAATGCTTATTCATACTTTTGAGTAAAATTATTTGCACTACTATTAGTAAATTATTAATGGTCTGGAAAATTATTAGCCAATTAGGTCTTTGTATTCTACATTTTCAAAAACAGAATCATACTGAGATTCTCTTCAACTTAATAGTTCCTTGTAATTAACTGTAATACATTTTTATCCTATTCATAAATTCTGATAAATATCAAAAGAGGCAATACATTTGGCATTCTTTTCTCAGGGATATTAGCACTTTGTTTTATATGATTTGGGGTGTTTGTCAGTTTAAGAACCACCTTATAAGTTTCAAAGTATAATACATCTACAAAATGAAGTTTATCACATATGCGTTATATGCAATATGAAATACTATGTAAACAACTTAAAATATAGTGTTTACAAAATATAGTGTCTGTATGGGTGAGGCTGTTAAACATTTGCCTTTGAAAAACATGGCTGTTCATCTTCTTTTTTTTGCTAGATCACCATGGGAAAAAATACCAAGAGCAGTTGGTTAGAACTATTAGGTTGGTGCAAAGGTAATTGCGTTTTTTTCTCTACAAATTGTACAAGGGCCGCTATTACAGTTGCACCAACCTAATAAATCCACTTCTGCTATGTTTTTGGTGTTATTTATTTTGGTTTTTAATTTCAACAACTTCTCATATGAGACAATTTCAAAGCGAAACCTCACTAACTCTGCAATATAACATTAACTATAGACTATTTCTAGTTTTTAAAACACAAATCTTGCCTTTAGAAAAATATTTAAATTACAGAATTTCCTCTGAATTTACTGAGCCCAATGATTATAAATAGCAATAATCAATGAATAGTTTTGCTATTTTTTGAAAAATACTTGAATATCTTTGTGGGACGTTTTTAAGAATCATCATAGTTAACTTTATATTACACAAATATAAAATGGCTAATAACATCATACTTGGTGACTCTTTACTCAATACTTTTTCTCACACTGATTTTTCTATGCTTCTGCCTATTTAGTTAATGTCCCTCCCTGTCAAAGACATTTGGAATGAGCTCTGTCACAATGCAGAATAAATAATAAAACATTTTTCATAGTTAGAGGATTTTCCCCAAAGCCATATGCATAGCTTAGAGAAGATATGCTTTGCATCAAGTCCTTAAAATGGGAAATACATGGCTCATTCTGAATCTTTGGATTGATAATGTCTGAAGGGACCTTTTCATCTAGGAGAAAACATTAAGAAAGACACAACTACCTTGTATTTTATATTACAAATGAAAAAATCAAAATAATAGTGGCTTTGGGGAAGATAACATAGCCCATTTTGAATAAAAATTACAGGTGTAATACAAATATCACACGATACGTAAAAGAACACATGAACATAATTTTTGAGATATTCAAATCAATTTCTATATCTCAGGTATTAGTAAACTATTAAATGAACAAATACAGACAACTAAATCAAAAGTCAGCGTACAACCTTAGCAATACTGTTGAGGGTCAACATAAGTAATATATATGAAATGAAATATGTATAGAATGTGACATAAAGGTGTCATAGTTCGAGATTCTTACAGCTTTAAATGTGCAGAATGTTTTTCATTCTTATGTATACTAAGATTTTCATAAATTGGGGTGTCATTCTGATAAAATTCTCTTTGGAAACATTTGTGATTACATGTTTTAAAAAGCCTTTATTATCTATGATATATATGTATATATGTCATTATAAATTCATTATCATTTTATGTACTTACTAATATGGGCCAAGAATACAGAAGCCAACCAAACAGAGCAAGCACTGCTGTCCTGAGCTCACATGCGCATTGCAAGGAAACGCTCCATAATGTAGTGGAAGATGTGCCTCTCACAAACGCATTATGTACTTTTTGCTCAGGTTACAGTTGCCGTTTAGCAAACTCCTCGATACTGTGTGGCCTCAAACAACCACAGTCATTTTATTTTGCTCACAAATGTGTAATGTGTAGGGCTGTCAAGGAAGACTAGTCTCTAAGCCATGTGACACTCACGTTGCTGACAGTTGGTGCTAGTTGTTGGCTGGGGGCTCCAGCAGGACTTAGTTCCTTTCCAGACCTCTCCATGTGGCTGGCTGTTCCTCACAGCGTGATGGCCAAGTTCCAAGGGCAGGCATCCCAAGCAAGAGCCAGACAGAAACTTTACTGCTTTAATGACTAACTTCATCTGTCACAGAATGCCACTTCCACTTTCTTTTTTTTTTAGCTGAGCCATCCTGCTACCTGTTGGCAGCTCAGCGGCTGCTCAGCTCGGGCTGGACTCGAACCGCTGTTGCTCAGAGCTCAAACTCTTGAGCGAGCTCTTAACCAACTGAGCCACTCGGCCGGCCCTTACTTCCACTTTCTTATTGCCCCAAGAGGCCCATCCAAGCTCAAGAGAGGGGACATAGGCCTCACCCTCTGTGGAGCAGTGGCAGATTCTAGAAGATCATGTAAGACTAGAAATACTGTTGCATCCATTTTAGAAAAGTACAATCTTCACAACTTTAATGTGTGGAAAAATATTACCATGTTTCTGAGGTATAAAACTATCATAGTATTTATAAAATAATGAGTGACGCGCTGAAGACTTGAATTTTTTAAGAAATCAAAGTCTCATATAAAATAGCCTTTAAAATGGAGAGGTGTCATTATAGTAACTTGCCAGGACTCACTGCTCAAAGCCTTATTAATAAACCATGGTACCACTAGGTATAACCTTCCATTCTAGTGTTCTTCTCTACTCATTGAAATGATGTTGTTTATATGTAGCAAAACTCTATATGACCAACAGTTTGCTATTAGTAGCAATGGTAACTTGAGCGAATAAATCTGCAAGTTAGAATATTATGATTAAACTCTTCATAGTCAAAATATAATAAATATAAAAAATTGTGCATGGATATATTTGAGAACACAAGTTAACTCTCACACTTATGGATGGGATTAAAAGCTATGTTTATCTTTTGTATATAGACATGAGAAAAGATAAATATACACATACAAATTGTAGACTTGGGATCTGTTACATTATACCACAGGTATCAGTTGGCAGTTTCTTATCACTTGGAGATAACATTATGAAATTAGGGTTGAGTTTGAATGAATTATTTTTTTTAACATTCATTTATCGAGTGTTTATGATTAAAAAAAACCAACATTGTGTCACAGATTGTCAAACATGGCAGGGTCCATACCCTCAAGGATACTTTAAGATGGTAAAGGTGGCAGAGATAATAAAAGCTAGTACAGAAGGTCTAAGCAATACAACATGGGAACAAAGAAGAAGGAGAAATGAATTCTGACCTTGGTGGGAAGAAGAAGAGAAGCATAATAATGCAGTAAGATGTGAGTGATCCTTACAAGATGAATCATTTTTAGATAATGAGATGGAAAGCTTGAAAGAGAAGAAAAATGACATTTCTTCCTAAACAGTGTGGCCATTGGCTGTAGGAAAAAGTTTAATCGAATAGAATAAAATAAAAAATTGAATTGAAATACTTTAATGTGTTTTGTGTTGAGTCAATGAAAAGCTTACTTTGGTTGTTACACAGGAGTCATGGGGATGTAGACAAGCTGTAGCATACAGAATATAGTCAATAATATTGTAATAACTATGTATAGTGTCAGACAGGTACTTGATTTATTGGGGTGATAGAAGGAAGTGTGGTTGGGGGGCATGGTGAAAAAGATGAAGGGATTAAGTACAAATTTGTGGTTATAAAACAGTCATGAGGATATGAAGTAAAGCACAGGGAATATAGTCAATGATATGGTAATAACTATGTGTAGTGCCACATAGGAACTAGACTAGTCAGGGGGATCACTTCTTAAATTATACAAATGTCTAACCACTATGCTGTATCCCTGAAATTAATATAAAGTGATATTGAATGTTAACTATAATTGAAAATTTTAAAAAGTGTGGAAAAAGAGGACGGGAAATAAGAGGTCCAAATCTCCAAGTATAAAACAAATAAGTCATGGGGATGTAATGTAAGCATAGGGAATATAGTCAATAATATTGCGATAGCAGGTACAGTGTCAGATGGTTGTTGGACTTATCATCGTGATCACTTCTTTAGGTATATAAATGTTGAATAACTATGGTGTACCCTTGAACTAATATAGTACTGTATGTTAGCTACATTTTAACAAAATTCCTTTAAAACGTTTACTAGCTACTTTTGTAAGTAAAGGTAAAGTGCGTGTAACAAGGTACAAAGTTCCTCACAGATCTAGCCATTCCTTTTCATTTCTTCTATAAACTCTTCTTCTTCCATGGCCTATGGTTATAGTCTCCTTTCCAGCTTCGCTGCAACAGTTTCTTTTTCCAGCTAGGCAAAGTCTACAGTTCACAGCCATATATTGGAAATGAAAAATTAAAAACAAACAAACAGGTTTACTTCATGCCTCTGCTGAATTTCTTGAAGGGCTCATTATGTGGAGCATCAAGTTACATGCTCTCTGCAGTGGTTCCATTTCATTTCCTGCAATCTGCACAGCTCCCTCCCCTCTCCATAGCCCAAAACAACCACTAATGGCACGTACTGTAGTACTGTCATGTCAGAATACTTGTACATTTCCAGATTTTCATTTGATGTCTTTGTACATGTTCTGTCTATATCCTCTGACTGAAATGCTGTTTCTCCTCTGACAACTTCTTGCTCAGATATATCCTACTCTTTAAAATATTTCTTCAAAACCGTAAGTTGCATGCCTCCTCTTTACTTGCACAGAAACTTACTCGTACACCTCTAAAATAATATTTATCGTGTTTTAAATTCTGCAAGGATGGAATGGTATTTAGTTTATCTTTGCATCTCACTTGATCGACCCTGCATAGGTACTGTGTTCTGACCCTAAATACAATGCTTTCCCTACTTCTTTTCACATTACTTCTTGAGAAAAGGAAAACTTGAGAAGCATTTACCAAGTAACTAAACATAATTTGAAACAAGCTCAGTTACAAAAAGGTAATAAAACACCATCTTAAAAGAACTTTGACTCTATCCATCAATTTGAAGGCATGTTTATAGGCATAGGTATTGAAAGATTGTAGAATTGATTGAAGGATTTAAATGGCACTATAAAAATAGCTTATCGGTATAAATTTAAAGCTAGCATTTCTTGCATATGGATTTCTGCTATATAATTAGCTGTATTACTTGGAATTGAATTAAGGATGATAAACAGTGATGCTACACTTTTCCCAATTCATTAGACTGTATGCGCCTTTCTGTCCCTCAACACTCTGGTGGTGATTCTTCTCAATGAATATAATATTGTTAGTGGATTGCCACTTATAGCCAAGAAATGTGTTTTATGAAAGGAAAATATAATTTGAAGTCTCAAGCTGCAAAATGTCTGGACTCTACATAGATCTATTCTCTCATCAATTTCAGTTTATAAAACATGCTCATAATTGAATTTTTATGTTAGGTAAACTGTTATCATCTTTAGAAGGATTTCATTAAGCTGGAGCCTGTTCATGTGTACTGTCAATAGGGATATCTCCAGCTACATGCGATTTTATACTGAGTTAAGCAAAATAAAAAATCTGCAGGCAATTTACAACACCCAAAATGGCTATGTTGGAGTTTGAGTAATTGAACAAATGGATAGTATACTGAGTCATAAATGTAAATTTTAAAACCATGTGACAAGAAAATCCAGATTAATGTTCAATTTACCAAAGGTTTTTGAATTGGATACATAATCAAATATGGCAGATTGTAAGCCACCCAGTCCAACAGGGTCACGTTAACGTGTGTGCCATTCAGCTGGGCATAAATCGTCTGGATTATATGTTAAAGAGTGGCGGCAGCCAGCACCACATACCATGTGCTGCTCACTTTTATGGGATGAAAACCTGGATATAGTCTGCTTTCCTTCCAAAGTCATTTTCTGATGGAGGATCAGTAAAACTAGCCTGAGTTTTAACTTTTACAATAATGAGCAAACACTCCTAATAAGAGCAAACATGATCATTAAAAATATTATGATGTCTTTCATTTGATGGAAATAAAGTAAAAGTTTATGTTTTATATGGGAAATTGATGAATAATTAAGATGATTTGTCTAGTCTAGACTATATTGCCATAGTTATTGCCTCATGATTAATTTTCATTTGAAATACAGTGCAGTGACTGAATAGCTTAAGCAGGCTGTATCTTCTAATACAAACTTTAATATCAGCACATTTATTTCCAGGGCAAATATAACAGCAGAAACGCTGATACGGTTGAGGACAGAGATTTTTTTTCTCCACTAATGGGTTTGAGGCTTCCATATGAAGCATCTTGGAATCTTGGTAGAGGGAGCAATTGCTTAAGAATTGGGGTAAGGACCAGCCCGGCCTCGGGGCTTACCTAGGTAGAGTTCACACCACAAAATATGAAAGGACGTGATAAATTTGGAGATGATTAGTTGACTTCATTTAAGATCATATGCAAAAAAATCCCCTGGAAATATTTTGGAATAAAATTAATTCCGTTTTTTACATGCAATAAAACGTCCCATTTAAGTGTATATTTTAATGAGTAACCACAAGCAAACTATAGAATATTTGCATCACATAAAATGTTCCCCATGTCCCTTCCCAGTCAATTTGATCCTTTATAGTCAACCCTAGGAAATCACTGATCTGTTTTCTTTAACATAAATTGAACATTTTCTAGTGTTTCATATAAAAGCAATCATAGGGTTATATCCTTAATGTCTGAATACGGTCCTGGGAAGTTTTGTTTACCGATCTTTCGGGGAAATATATCTCTATTTCTCTTGGGTAAATACCTAGGATAGGAATTGCTAGGTTTTATTATATATGTGTTTCGTTATTTAACAAATTGCCAAAAATGATTTGCAAAGTGGCTGTAGATTTTATAGCCCCTTAGCAAGTAATGAGATTCCTAGTTCCTCTACAACCTCACCAATAGTTGGCACAATCTTTACAATGCTAGCTATTTAATAGTATGTGTCAGTATTTAATTATGTATTTAATTTTCATTTCCCTGATAACAAATGATGTTGGGTATTTTCATGTACATTTTGTCCATTTATGTAACTTTTTGTGAGTCTTCTATTTA